CCGGTCGCAATCTCACAGTTCACGAGTTTGAGCCCTGCATTACGTTCTCTGCTCTCAGCACAGTCTGCTTTAGATCCTTTCCCCCCTCTCTCTCTGGCCCTCCCCTACTGAAAAAATAAATAAATATTTAAAAAAAAAAAGAATTTAGGAGCTCAATGTTCACAGTTTCGTTGCAGTCTGCCCACACCCCCATTCTCAATTTATAGGCTCTTGTTCTTTCCTAATCAATGCTCTCACTTTAACCACAGACACCAGGTGCGGCTGGGAATTCATTTTGCCTTGTAAGGCAGCCAATTGCAGAAAGAGATTCTGCATTTGATTTTCTACCATCTCAACCCTGAGGCTGCAGGAGGTAATAACCCCCTTCAAGGAACACACAAAAGCTTGCAAGTGATTTGCCACAGCACTTGAACCGTAAATTCAAATCTCTGAGCTCATCCCTTTCTTTCTTCACTTTGTCCAGCAGTGTTACAAGCAACCGGTCAATCTCTTTAGTACTAGAAATAGAGTCATTTGAAACTCGTCAGATTAGAGAGCCAATTCCAGAAGCCCCAGAACAGATTCAGAAAACTCATCCTTAAAATGCTGTTCCTCTAGAACCACTCTCAGTACCAAAATCCTATTGGTCTGCTGGGACTGCCATAATGAAACATTACAGCCTTGGTGGCTTAAATGGCAGACATTGACTTTCTCTTTGTTCTGGAGGCTATAGGTCCAAGATTAGAGTACCAGTATGGTTGAGTTCCGTTTTTTTGTTTTATTTTGTTTTGTTGTGTTTTGTTTTATTTATTTTGAGAGTGTGTGTGTGCAGGTCGGGACACTGCAGAGGGAGAGAGGGAGAGAGAGAGAGAATCCCAATCAGGCTCCGCACCACCAGTAAGGAGCCTGATGCGGGGCTCGAACCCATGAACTGCAAGATCATGACCTTTATAAAAGGTATGTTTATACAAGTGAACATGAATGTCTAGAAGGCTTATACTCAGGTATATGCCACTGGTCTTTGTCCGGGCAAGTGATTAGTTTTAGTGATAGCATATGAATTTCTGTTATTTTGTGTGAATCATTATTGGTGACATAGTTTATCTAAGAATTAACAAATAATTAAGTGCCACCTTTCCCTTATTATCTCAGCCCTTTCTGACTTCAGTTAACACAGGTGGTTAATTCAGCTTGTCAAGCTGGATTTTTCTTTTGTTGATGTGTGAGGCCACTGAACAGTTTCCTGCGCTCAGGTCCCTACGGGGAAAAAAAAAAAGAAGAAAAGCCAAATTAGAATGTGCTTTCCCTCAGAATGTCTCTCATTTAGATACAGACCTCAAAAGATCAGGGAAAAAAGCAGGGGAGTTCCAAGACATTTGATTTAGTAGATCTAATTTAGCGCTATAAAATGCAGCAATAATTAATACTTCCCCTTCCGTGATAAACATACATATTCCTTCTGCAAATTCCTCTGGCAACCCCATACGATCACCTTTCACAGAGCTAACGTTGTTTTGTTGCTGGAAGCAAATGTTTCAGGTGTCCGTCTTGCTTTGCATATGCGGTAGAGGGGGCAGCGAGGGTGGTGGTTACTTTGGGGTAATTCTGTACAGCATGGAGCCCAAGAAAAGGGCAGCGGAGAACAAGGGAGAAAGCCTCACTCATCTGCCTCCTCTCCTTTTCTCCATAGCTGCATATATGCCCCTTGTCCAGAGTTCTTGTATGGCTGGGGTCAGAGATGTGCACACAGTGAGGTTTGAAGGGAAAGTTTAAGGACTGTGCGAGACTATCTCTGAAATATCTGCTCAGTAGCTTAGGATCCGTATTTAAACTAGTTAATACTGGGGCGTCTGGGTGGCTCAGTCAGTTAAGTGTCCAACTTCAGCTCAGGTGGTGATCTCGCGGTAGGTGAGTTTGAGCCCTGCTTCGGGCTCTGTGCTGACAGCTCAGAGCCCGGAGCCTACTTCGGATTCTGAGTTTCCCCCTCTCTCTGCCCTTCCCCTGCTCATGCTCTGTCTTTCTCTCTCAAAATAAATAAATAAATACTAAAAAAAAAAACAAAAAAAAAACTAATAAATACTGCTGCTGGGATTACTCAGATCATCCGTTAGGGCCAAATTTAAAGACGAGTAGGGACTCGTTTGTGCCTCAGTGTCCTCATTTGCGGTTTTGGGGACGTTTGTGTTTGTAGTTAAAAGTTTATTTATTCACCTTGAGACAGACAGAGAAAGGGAGAGTGGGGCAGCAGAGAGAGATTCCCAAGCAGGCTCTGCACTGTCAGCACAGAGCCTGATGCAGGGCCCGAACCCATGAACCTTGAGATCATGACCTGACCCAAACAAAGTTGGATGCTCAGCCGACTGACCCACCCAGATGCCCCTGTGTGTGTGTGTGTGTGTGTGTGTGTCTATGTGTCTGTGTGCCTGTGTGTTTGAGACAGAGAGAGCAAACGAATGCAAGAGCAGGAGAGGGGGAGAGAGAGATGGAGAGACAGAATCCCACGCAGGCTCCATGCTCAGCCCAGAACCCAATGCAGGGCTCGATCCCATGACCGTGAGATCATGATCTGTGACAAAATCAAGAGTGGGATGGTTAACGACTTGAGCCACCCAGGCACCCCTCAGTGTCCTCATTTGTAAAATGAGAATAAATGAGTCATTGTGGGAATGAAATGGGATAATTCATATAAAATACGTGTAATGGTTTACAGCATATAATGCTCACCTAATAGTAGCTACTGTTGATATAATTAAGTGGCTCTTGGACATCGTGTGGGTGACGTGAATAAAGGAGGGGTCATAGAAAAGGGAAGGGGATGAGGTAATGCCTGGACATATGGCAAAAATGAGAAGAATAGCTTCATTCGCTATCTGAGAAGCTGACTTGAAATTTACATTTTCAACCGACATTTCTTCCTGGTCCCAGGAAAGACCACTGCAGTCCAGGCCACAGAGAGCTACTTACAGCTCAATACTGGCCTCCTATGGCAGCGGAAGCCAGAATTAAAATCCCAAGAACAGGACAAACAATTCTCTTCATTAACATGGCTTCCCGGGGGGTGGGGGTGGGTTGTATTATAATTAGTATAATAAATATTATTGTGGTAAAGGAACTGACATGAGCCGAATGATAAAAGCTGAGTAGCGTTCATCAACTGAATGAGAGATGCTGGGGGTGGGAATGATTGGAGGGGTGCTCAGGACAACAGAGCTGTGTGAACGAAAGCAGAGAGGCATGAAAGAACATTAGGCCTTAAAAAAGCAGTAAGTCCCTTTGTGATGCTTGAACATAGAGTTCAAGCTCTCTCCCTGTCAAACACACACACACACACACACACATGGGCATCTGGGTGGGTCAGTCGGCTGAGCATCCAACTTTGTTTGGGTCAGGTCATGATCTCAAGGTTCATGGGTTCGGGCCCTGCATCAGGCTCTGTGCTGACAGTGCAGAGCCTGTTTGGGATGCTCTCTCTTTCTGCCACCCCCCACTCTCTCTCTGCCTCTCTCAAGGTGAATAAAGAGACAGCAAAGAGAGAAAAAGCCAGAGAGGCTGGGAAGGACCAAGTCCCTTATGGTCTTGACTATAGACAGTCTGGACTTTCTTTCCCTAATTAATAAGAAATTACAGTTGAAGACTCAAGAGAGAGAGACTTAGAAGAGTACATGAAGGAGGACTGGTGAGGGCTGAAACTATAAAGTATCAGTGAGGATTGTAAGGAGGATACAGGTACAAGAGAAGTTTAAGATTCTATACTTGGAAGTACTCAAAATAAAAAAAAGTGGGACGCCTGGGCGGCTCAGTTCGTTAAGTGTCTGACTCTTGATCTAGGCTCAGGTCACTATCTCACGGTTCATGAGTTTGAGCCCCATGTCGGACTCCAAGCTGACAGCACGGGAGCCTGCTTGGGATTCTCTCTCTCTCCCTCTCCCTGCCCCACCCCCTCAAAATAAATAAATAAACGTTAAATAGGTAAATAAATTAAAAAATTAAAAAAGGAGGTACACATGATCTTCCAATTCAAGGTTTTATTTATATGCAATGTATTACAAAATTATTTAAAATATGAAGTCAGACTTGGTTACACATTTAGCTATTTGTTTCATTGATAATAATAGATTACATGACATGAGGAATTTCCCAGAAAGTGGGGTGAGAGAATTCTTTAATCTATAGCCCTGGAGCCAGGCAGAAACCCTAAGTCTTTGAAACTTTTATTTCTACCTTAGAGGTCAGCATTGGCCTAAGAAGGTCCTAGATAACCTGGTATAATATGGGGCTGGTGCAGAATGAAGTTGTCTAACTTCTAAGTAAACTCTGTAACTGAGTCAGTTCCAGGCAGTCCTGACAGGAGTTCTAATAATGTGGAAAAAGAGATCTAGGGACCAGTGATTGGCTGGAGAGAGTGCCATAGAATCCTATAACATCTGGAAGAAACAGAATCCACTGGTATAGGTTACAACTGCTCACGGTCTCTACTTTCAAAGGCACATTGCACTGCCCTGACAGGGAGGTTGTGTGTGTGTGTGTGTGTGTGTGTGTGTGTGACACCAAAGCTGTCAGTTGCTGGACCTCTTTGTCTCCCTGGGTATCACAACTCCATCCTGGCATAAACTTCTCCTAGCCAGTTAAAGGTTTCTTACAAATTAAAGAGTTAAAGAAGCCATGCAGATATTTTGGGAAGCAACCCAGTACAAAAGCATCAATGATAAAAGTCAAGCCAACTTCCTATATATCAAAGCACCAAAAGGTCAAGGATGTAAAAAGTGACCTTTACATTTTATAACACTACACAGTGTTTAGTTGTTGGTTTGAAGAAAAAATTATCAGAGGACATGGAAATCTTCAAACAATGGTTAAAGTGGATAGAAGTTTCTTTTAAAAAAGTGTTTATTCAGAGTTTAGTGCACACTCAAATATTTGTTAATCTCAAATCTATGTTATTTCTATGTTATGATACGTTTTGCTTCCTATAACTGTAAAGATAGGATACACATAGGAGTACAGGTGATCTAGTCTATATTCCTAGCCCTACTCAATATGTAGGTGTAGTTATATCTTAAATATAAACCTATGCTCAAGTAAAATGTAAAAGGTGATTACTTATAGTATTTTTTAAAGTAGAAGGCATATGCCTAGAGCCTGAATAATTCCGAACCAATCTACTGGAGTATATACTTCACTTAGAGATGCTTGCGTTTCAAGCTGGTAAATAACGCAAGCAGTTAAAAAACTGGCTTTGGTTCAAGAAGGAAGCCTAATGAAAGTGGAGATAAAAACCAATAATAATTTTCTAAAAAGAAAAAAAAAAAACTTCAGCATTTGTCAAGGAGAAATCTGACACCCCAAATCACCATTCACAACTTGTTACTAATTATAACTTGAGATAAACCCTCAGTTCCTTCTAGGTTATAGATCTGTCTTGCCACGGACAGCCTCATACCGATAGACTGAAGGAAACGGGCAATTCCTGAAGGTCACTGGATCGAACCTCCCGGTTACATTTGGTTTCCTGCTCTGCAACAGTGAGACAAGAATCCATGCAGGGGAAAATTGATTCTTTCGCTCGAGCCATTCAAAAGACAATTCAAGGGCACCTCAAACCAAGTGGCCATGCTGTCAACGTGCGTTCCGCTCTCCCAGTTAAGACACAAAGGTCTCCATCTCTCTAAGGGAACTGCTTTTTCGGCACGACACACTCTCCCGCTTGCCTTGGAGCCAAGTAATCGGAACCCTAAACACACGGCGGAGCTTCTGCTGGAACCGGTTACCGACAAAACAATACAAAAAGGGATTAATGCAGCTGTTGGTGAATCCCAGGAGGATGGCAAAAGGAAGTGCCAGGTCAATGACTGCTATAACTTCACAGCTATTAATGACACCCATCCAGGCCAGAGCGTCCAGGAAGGTCAGGACGTGGAAGGGAAGCCAACAAATGATGAACGCCAGAACGACGGCAGCCGCCATCTTTAGGACTTGGTCACGAGTTATTCTGTTCTTCCCGTAGCTATTGGTCTTCAGCAAGTGCTTTCGGATGCCGAAATAGCACGTCGCTATGAATATTAAAGGGATAATAAAGCCAAGGATATTTTTCATTAAGGCAATGCCAGCTGACCATTGCGCGTATTTCTCAGGTGGGAAAGCCATAATGCAAGCATTCACTCCCAAATACTCAATGGTTCGGACGTCTCGGAAATAAAATGTCGGCATTGAGGACAGACAGGCCATACACCACACCAGGGGGACTATATAGGACGCTTGCCAGGGGTTCCTTCTCTGAGACAGAAAGGGGTAGATAACAGATTGGTACCTATCGACACTCATGCAGGTGATGAAAAAAATGCTCGCAAACATGTTCAGGGTCAGGAAGGAACCGAAAACTTTGCACATCACGGGACCAAAGAGCCAGTCGTATCTATAAGAATAGTAGGTTGCCCAGAGAGGCAGAGTAGCCAAAAGCAGCAAGTCAGCCACCGCCAGGTTGAAGATGTAAATGCTGGACACCTTTTTAGGGCCCTTCTGACAACAAAACAGCGTAACCACAATAGTATTGACAAGAAATCCGACCACAAAAATGATATAGTAGAGAACAGGGATTGCGTCTAAATGCTTATCTGCTGGTTTAGGGGAGCAGTTAAAGGTAGACTGGTTGCCGACGATGCTCACGAGTCCGAAGTGAAGACTGTTGGTAATGTTTTTGCTGACGGCGGCAAGGGTGAAGTTGCCCTTCATACTGAAAGGTTGGCAGCTCCTAATTCTTATGCCTTCTGCGAAGATAAGAAAAAAAAAAAAAAAAAGGAACTCTCAGAACACATACCGAGTTCAGGACATCATTAAGTCATTAGCAGTCTGTAAGTTTCTTGAAAGCAAAAAAGAAGTGGGAACCAAGAACGGATTTCGCTTCTTGAAGAAGAAAGGAGAATTTCCTCGACAGGACCAAACCGTTAAGACATTTCAGCATCAGGGACCGAAAATTCTGAACAGAACCCTATTTTGCCCATCCTTTCCATCATACTTTTAAGAGGCAGAAAGAAAAGCAACAGTTCAAGAGGCTAGCCAGGGAAGAAATATGGGAAACAAAGAAGGAGGACCCAAGAAATAAGAAAAGTTAATATTTCAAAAACATTTGAGCACATATCTCAGCCTGTGATACTTTCTAGAAACCACTCTGCTGCCCGCTATTGCATAGAGAAGTGCCTGATTCAAGTAACTAATTATGTACAAATCATTACAGCTATGGAAAATGTAAGTAACATAAGCTATGGAAAAAATAAGTAAGTGTACAAAAAACTGAAAACAAGAATATGCGAAAGGAACATACTGAGCTGGGGGGTTATGGTTGGTTTTTCCTAAGGAAAAATAACTCCTTTGCTTCCGCTTTTCCTTTGTTTTCACAATAATCATATCATTAAGAGGAAATTATAGAACATGCACCTATTTCTAACAGCCCCCGTTCGCATTTTAATAGACACTATTAGTTTCTGATACAGACATTTAATCCATTTAAAAGGAGATCTATTTTCTTCTTCCATCAGGAAAAGAACAAGGAAAAAAAAAAAAAATAGCCCAACCTGATTTAGGGTCAAGTCGAAACAGTTTTGATTGCTTAATGACATAGGAATTGAACATCAATGATGAATCATGAGATACTTGTATCATTTTTCCTGTGCTAGTATTTCAGTTTTAACACAGCAAAATAATGACAGTGCTACATGGCTCTCAAATGTTATAATCAACGCTCAGGTTTCTGTGGTACCGGGTTGTTGGCATTTTTTTTTTTTTTTAGGAGGAACATTACTTTAAAACAAAAGAAAATTAGCTGCAGATAAACACAGTAAGGGAAAGACAATTGCTTTTGATCGTTTCAAAAACACATCTAAACTACTCAAAGGCAAACATAATCACACAGAATCTCCTAGTAAACAGCAAAGTTATCATTTTTGTCTAAAGCTCATTCTCTCAGCATCTGGACCTAACAAAGTAACGTGAAAGAGTCTAAAGAAACCCACTTGAAGACTTACTGGTTGTTGGAGTTTAAAACTTAGTTATCAGAAGTCAGCGTGCCTAGTTCCTAAGTGCACCCCTGTAAGAGAAACAGTAGTTTAATAACTTAAAGAGTTTTGCAAAATACAGTGTTAAAATACAGGAAAGTTCATCTGCAAAACACATTTTCATTTAATGTATAGTCTACTTTCCAAGTACAGTGTATAGAAACTGTGCAGACCTACCTTAAAAACTCAGGCTGAAGAATGCTTTGAATTCTCTGCTTATTCGTTCCCTTAGACTCGGGGACGTAATAGCACCAGATCTCTGGTTTCCTTCTTATATGTTCGGTCTGTCCACTGGGAGCCTTCAACCTACATAATTCTAGGGCTGACTTATGAACATTGGCCAGCTTTCCAGAGAGGTTTTTTTTTTTTTTTTTTGGCTGCAAAACATTAATCTGAAATTCTCACTGTCTCCAATCATAACAGCTCATTCAAATAAATCTCAAATAAAAAAAAAATGAAGTTTCCACAAATGTGTTAGAGAATTTTGAAATCAGTGGCTCACTTTAAAAGAAGAATACAATGATTTGCAGAATCTTCTCTCTTTTTTTCCCTGATACTGGCGTTCCAGGACAAGTTAGGGAGTGGAGAGGAGCACATGGGTCTTTGTCCACCAGCATCTTTTACAACTCGCGCTGCTTTTCGAGATTTTTACCTCTGTTCAGTGAAGAACCGCAACACCTTTGCTCGAAGCCTGAACTTTCGAACAGTTCTCCCTTGCTCTAAGCAATTTCTGTCGGCTGTTTGCTGGAGAGGTGGTGAAAGCACAGATATCATGTTCAGGTCTTCCAGAAGAGGTATTAGCCAACATCGCCTCCCTTCATAGGTCCCCGTCATACTTGCAGTTTGAAACACAAAGAACAGAAGGTGAAGAAGGATCAGGTGGCTACTACAGCTTCGATCACTTGTTTTTCTTTTTGTTGGGAGCAGGGGGTGACCAACCTTACAATCTGTCCTAGAGCAGCAAGAGTGACAAGAGAGAGAAAGATAAGAACAGGTGATGGTAGTGACAGTACTGACACTAAACTCTAAGCGCCAAACTCTGCTGAGTGCCCAAGAACTTAATAGAGAAGCGATGGAATGTTCTGGTATATACATGGCCTCTAGGAGACAGCTACCTAGCCCCACAAGCTCAGCTAGGCCACATACTTTGGTTCTTGACCTTGGCCAAGTTACTTTCCTTCTTCCTGCCTCAGTTTTCGCGTCTGAGAAATGGGGATGATCTTAATTACCTACATCACAAAATTAAATGAGCTAATATTTTTAAAGTGCTTAACACCACGTTTTGCATATGGTAGATGCAATTATAAATATTACCGGCACCTCCAGTTGACACATCAGGAAGCTGGGGCTCACGGAGTTTAAATAACTTTTCTGGGGTCACATGGCTCTTCCATCTGAATTTTAGCCGAGGCCGTCTCATGACAGAGTCCATGCTCTCAACCTCCACTTCCCAGGAGGGAACACGAGCTGGCCCTTGAATCTCATTCTTTGTCCTGGCAACAAGAAAACGTGACATTTACAAAAAGTCGCTGCTGACCATTCGTAAGCTGTTACGCAAACACTAAAGAAGGGGCAAGGGGCTTGGAGGATCGTTACGTGGGAGAAAATATTTTTCTCAGTTTTATTCCCCATGTTACAGTCAATCCTGCAGCAAGCAAACAGGGCCAGAAAGACGTCACCATTGCCTGAAAAACATAGCAGGCTTCAAAGGTGCGCACACCACGGTTTTGGTGATTCTTTTGGTTAGGCTGAGTTTGACCACTGAGAAAACACACATACACACCCCTGTTTTCTACTGCGAAATATTCGTTTCCTCTGCTCTGGACAGATTCAGGCGGAGGCTCCCTGCAAATGAAGGAGAAGCGATGTCTGGGGAACAATGGAGCAGGCGCAAATAGTTATCGGCAGGAGAGATGAAAACGGGAGCTGGTTAGACTCTGTTTAAGCCTAGCTTCTCCGGCCATTTCAAATGTTTGTTTTTGCCACATACGGGGGAATTTTCCAGGCCAGAGCCTCCTGAGTGGTCACGATGGGTCAGATTCCCACCCTGCTCTATTTCCAGCCCCCTCTCGTGCCGGGTGCAAAGCAACAGCCGGGAGATAAGCTATAAACTTTTGAGAACAGACTGCAGGCTCGCCTCTGGGAGACCTTAGCCTTGAACACCCCCGAGGAGCAGGGGACCTTGTCTAGAGCTTTTGTCCTTCGTTACAGTAAGTTCTGACGTAAATAAGGTTTAAAGAGGCACACATTTCCCAGAAGATTAAAAGAACGCTTACTCTGTCTCTTCATAATTTTAGAAGCAAAAATTTTCACAACTCAAAGAAAAATTCTGTAACTGCAGGAAATCAAGGAAAAAAGGTTTGGTTTTGTTTTAAAGGACTAACAATCGGGGTGCCTGGCTGGCTCGGTCGGTGAAGCGTCTGACTTCGGCTCAGGTCATGATCTCACTGTTCGTGGGTTCGAGCCCCGCGTTGAGCTCTGTGCTGACGGCTTGGAGCCCGAAGCCTGCTTTGGATTCTGTGTCTCCCCCTCTCTCTGCCCTTCCCCAGCTAGCGCTCTGTCTCTCTCTCCAAAATGAATGAACATTCAAAAACATTTTTTAAAGGAATAACAATAATATTAACACCACTTGAAGCAAGAAATACAGCCTATTTAGCAAGGAACTCCAAGTTAAGCCAACAACGTAAATATACTTGGGAGTCAAATACATGTCAGCCATAGGAAGCGGGACACTAAAAAATTCACTCTCCGGGGGAAAGGGGGTCATTTTTCTGTTGGAAGATTGACTTTAAAAGCCCAGGGTCATTTGAATAAATTACGCAGCTCTTCAGGGCAAGTGCAGCTTGGCTAGCAGAATTAAACAATGGTAAATCACTTTAATTTTTTTCTAGTGAATACCTATTATTTATCATGAGATTACTTAACAGTAACTTAAACAAACACATTGAAAAAAGACACAAAATAAAAAAAATGCTCTGGGGAGGATTTTCGCCTCCGCTGGACGGATCCAGGGTTCAGAAAAAAAAAATCTTATTTGTCCCTCTCGGCCCCACTCACACAGACAGATGAGGCATGCCCTGGTTATAAAGGTGCGGATTAGGGGCACAGATCATGACATAATTAAATGTATATGGGCATCTTTTTTAGTTTAAGTTTTTCGGGGTCAATTTCATTTTCCCACACTCCCCACCACCTGAGTCCTTATCCAGACCAATAGTATTTTCACTTCTCCCAAGTTCAGTAAACACGCGCGCGCGCGCGCGCACACACACACACACACGCATGCACACACCCAATCTTTTTCAATTCACTTACCCATAGGCAAGCCTTAATTTAATTGCCACCGTATTTTTCCAAACCTGGGTAACCCTGAAAGGAGGATAATTAAGAAGATTATTCATTATTGATACATCTTTTCAGATTCTTTTTGTGCGTCTCTATAGTTTCCAATATAGTGAGAACAAGAGCATGTGGATGAAAGCAAGGGAAAACGAGCTAACAATCAGATTCTTGATTTTGCAGAAACCAGCCTGAGAATTCAGTAAAATGGCCAACATGAGCGATTATTTGCCTCAAATTAACTGTTTGCTGAGGCATCCAATACAGAGTAACTGAGAGGGATATGAAATCAGTTAACAAGGTGGAATCCATGTGGTGAAATGAGTAGATGTCTGACTCAGTACATTCCTGAGACCTGTTGTTTCCAGCTGAATCTGGTCCCAAGAATATAAGGAGAAGGAAGAGTTCAAGTTCCCTTTGCCCTAAAGGCATCTGTAGGCCTGAACATAACGTTCAGACTAGGAACTCACAAGAGGCGCCCGAGTTCCACCAAGGAGCATCCCAGTGCTCTGTGACCCAACTGGTGGAAACATAAAACATTAAGAAACTGTCTTTATTTTTGGCTTGCACTCATTTAACTGATCTGACATTTCCCCCTACTTATCTGACTCAACCGATTAGGTAGCGTATTCTAAAACACCACTCCAAAATACGCCACTGTGGCATAGGATTCTTTTGAGCTAGAGACAATTGAGAAGTAGATATAAGAAAAACTCGCTGCCTTCCCACTGTGAGCCTGAAAGCAGGATGTAAGTTGGTAAATGTATCTCTCTTTCCTTTACCAGGAAGGACAGAACTCTTAATGAACAGGAGACAGTTCTAAACTCTTATCAGCCCAGGGATGGGCATGAAGAGGAATCTAAATAACAAACCTTACTAAATAATTCCTGTCTTCTATTAGTTTTCTCCATATATTTACTTTCTTACAGTTTGCCCCTCTAAAAGCCTGAACCTCTTTTCTTTTGACACTTCTCTATAACTTTACTATTCTTTTATTAAGATGTTAGATAAGGCCACGTTCTGATCACCGCTTTGAGTTACTCATCACTGAGTTTTCCCGTGTGTATGCAGAATATACATGTTAACAAACCCTGGCTCCATTTAAAATGGCTTTTGTCAGTTAATTTCACATGGCCAGCCACTGAAACCTAAGAAGGTCGAGGAATTTTCTCCTCTCTTACAATTAGCTGGACTGAATGACCCAAAATAGGCAATTAATTAAATACACCAAACCAACCAGTTTTCTTCGAAATATTTAAACGCCACTGTTAGGTGATGAGGATGTTTGGGGAGAAATGTTGTCAGACTGAATCTCTCATTAGGCAGTGGGCCAATGAATCATTAAGTTTAGAGTTTGGTCCTTAGGATTGAGGGCCCAAAGCTGAACTTTCTCATATAGCCCAGGCGTTCAGCAGTGGACTCCTGCCAACAAGGTTCTCACAAATCTGATATACCACCGTGATTGATATTATTTTACAACAAGGATCTACCACTTTTCAATGACCATAACATCTATCTGGGTTCCTTGTTTACAGCATCCACTCTATCTCCTTCCCAATATTAGTAAAGAGGAAATCTGGCTTGGTGACTATGCCATCGGACCAGGAACACTGGTAACTGGAGCATATTTTACTTCAGCTCTGGGAAATTCTATAGCAGAGATAACCATTCCAGAAGCCAAATTGATGAATCCCCCAAACTGTTCTCTCCCCTAGTTTTGCCTCCCTGAATCCGAATTTCCAGTTGCAACCCAATTACATTGATCCTGTATTTTTTTATTTATTTATTTATTTATTTATTTCAAATAGTTTATTGTCAAATTAGTTTCCACATAACACCCAGTGCTCATCCCCACAAGTCACATCCCTGCTCCAGGAAGCCTAAAAGTTTTTGTCTGATTAATTCAAACAAGACTCTCAAACTCTCAGAGTTGGAGAATGGGGTTGCGGAAAAGCAACGCCTCATTATCTGTGCCTACAAAAAAGGGGGAGGGAAAGGGGCAAAATAACATCGCCTTAAAACGAGCCATAAGTTCAGAGAAAACAATAAAAACGAACGGTTATTTGGCTCTGATTGAGGGATTCGTCTGTTCAACCTCTTCCCGAGGCCCCTAAAAAGACAGAAAAATAACATGTTATAAAGCCTTGAATATAGTTTGCTTCGGAGGTATAAAACAATCTAAGATTAGAAGACAGAGCAAAATGACAGGAAGTTTGGGGGTGGGGTTCGTGGAGGATCACGGGGTCTTTACTTCAAGGAAATGAAAAACAGGACACTTATCCCTGAGAATTCTGAGACTGGTTGAGATTTTAGGTATTTATACTACGAATATTTGGATTCGTGGTGTTCAGTATAGATTTGTAAAACCTGCAACCAAAAGGAGAGTTTTCACCGTAGATAATTTACAATGTGTCCTCAAATAAAATAGTTCATGTTCAGATATCTAGAAGTTGATACAATTCCATACGGTTATGTTGTACATTGTTTCACTATTAACACTCCTGTTTCATATTGGTCCAATTTTATATTGGTCACATAATTGAAATTATTAATCATTTTTTTAAATTGAGACATAGTTCACATATCATAAAATCTCCCCATTTAAAATGTACAATTCAGGGGCTCCTGTGTGGCTCGCTCGGCTAAGCGTCTGACTTCGGCTCAGGTCATGATCTCACGGTTTGTGGGTTTGAGCCCTGTGTCGGGTTCTGTGCTGACAGCTTGGAGCCCAGAGCCTGCTTCGGATTCTGTGTCTCCGTCTCTCTCTGACCCTCCGCTGCTCACGCTGTCTCTCTCTCTCTCTGTCTCAAAAATAAATAAAACTTTTAAAAATAAATACATAAACATTAAAAATATTAATAAATAAAATAAAATGTACACTATATAAGTCCAGAACATTTTCCTTGCCTCTAAAACAAACCTAATACCTATCAGTGATCACTCTCCTTTCCCCGTTCTTCCAGCCTCTATTCTCCTTTTATTTTAAGCTTAAAAGATGAACCGCAGCCTAGAAATTCCAAAAAAGACATTGTCTAGGAGATAACAAATCAAAACATAAATGAATGAACTTTAAGAACAACAGTGCATACTATTTTCATTGTGCTTTAGTTATTTTCAATGGCATGAATCTGGGGCCCCACAGACTGCAGTAAACTAAACACTCCTTCAGTGAACACTGAGTACTGTTAGTGTAAGTCTACTTCCCCCTAACTGTATACACTCTTGTTGAGTTATTTGTACTGAACTCGCAGTCAGGCTTCTTTGGCGTTAATGCAAAAAATAAATGTCATGTAAATAGCCTCTAGGGCTGATTCTATCTAAAGGTCCCCAATCTCTTTGTGAAGAGAAGCCACTTTTCATTTCCCCAGACATGAAGTCCCCAAGGGTTGTAAGGGAGGTGCTGACATCAAAGACTGTGAATACAGTAAGGAGGGGGTACCAGGCACTATGCTGGGTACGCGGCAAACGTTTCATATAAACTCAACAATCCTGAGAGGCAGTCGTCATCCTCATTTTAGAAGTAAGGAGAAATTAGGAGACTGAAGCACAAAGAGGTTAAATAACTTGCCCAAGATCAAACACCTAGGCTCAAACCCCAGCCATTATTTTCACTGCATCATTCTAGTAAACATGAGGCACAAGATGAATTAATTTCCCCCCTTTGAGAGGGACATCTAAGCATTCTGGGAATTTCTGGGTTAAAGTCAATCAGAAAAATACTTTTTAAAACTTTGCAGGATAAGGGCGCCTGGGTGGCTCAGTCGGTTAAGGGTCCGACCCTTGATTTCGGCTCAGGTCATGATCTCACAGCTCATGAAATCAAGCCCCGCGTGGGGGGTCTATGCTGTGAAGTGTGGAGCCTGCTTGGGACTCTCTCCCCCTCTTTCTGCCCCTTCCCGGCTTGTGCACACATGCACGTGAGTGAGCGTGCTTTTTCAAAATAAATAAATAAACTTTTTAAAAAATAGCAAAGTAACTCAAGAAATGAAAATAGTTGATAAATATAAGATACTCAGAGCAAGTCTCACAGGTAAAATGTTGTAAAGAGAAAAATTGTCTTTTTTTTTTTTTTTAATAGTTTATTGTCAAGTTGGTTTCCATATAACACCCAGTGCTCATCCCCACAAGTGCCCTTCTCCATGCCCATCTCCCCCCTTCGGCTCCCCCCACACCCATCAGTCCTCAGTTTGTTCTCAGCATTCAAGAGTCTCTCATGGTTTGCCTCCCTCCCTCTCCCCCACTATTTTTCCCCCCTTCTTCTCCCCCACGGTCCTCCGTTAAGTTCCTCCTAATCCACCTATATGTGCAAACATATGGTATTTGTCCTTCTCTGCCTGACTTATTTCACTCAGCATAACAGCCTCGAGTTCCATCCACATTGCTACACGTGGCCAGATTTCATTCTTCCTCATTGCCATCTAGGACTCCATTGTATAGATAAACCACATCTTCTTGATCCATTCGTCCGTTGATGGCTTAGGCTCTTTCCATGTTTTGGCTGTTGTTGAGAGTGTTGCTATGAACATTGGGGTCCATGTGCCCCTATGCATCAGCACTCCTGTATCCCTTGGGCAATAGCACTGCTAGAAGAATTGTCTTTACTGACTCTCTTAACTCAAAAGTAAATGCCTGTAGCTAAGGTGGAGGCAACAAGGTGGAAAGAACTCAGACTACAACAGTTTAGATCTTTGTTTATATAATATATAACAATTAACTGTCAAAATCTTGTTGGAGTCCTGGGAAAGCGTTTTAAAGAAATCTAGAACTCGGGGTGCCTGGGGGGCTCAGGCGGTTAAACGTCTGACTTCGGTTCAGGTCATGATCTCGCAGTTTGTGGGTTCGAGCCCCACGTCGGGCTCTGTGCTGACAGCTCGGAGCCTGGAGCCTGCTTCGGATTCTGCATCTCCCTCTCTCTCTCTGCCCCTACTCGGCTCACACTCTGTCTCTTAAATATAAATAAACTTAAAAAAGTTTTAATAGAAAGAAATCTAGAACTGTATACATATATAAAATAATAATGGATACATAACCAGTCCTGTACTTTCAAAATGAATTTAATTTTCCTATCAGATTGTAAATTTCCGTTTGTCCCCTTGAAAGTTTGCCAAATAGTCTTGAGAAGCCCCGGACATTCCTTTGTAAGACTGAGGATGAATAATAGACTAAAAGAAATGTGAGCTCTATCAAGTGTCCGGCTAGCTAACCTCACCTATAATTCCTTCCCGCTGTGCGAGCCGGCAAACTCTAGGCAACCTGGGAAGGTAGAAGAGACAGGTGAAGTAGATCCACATTCATTGCTTCAGTTGTTTAAAAAAAAGTAAATCTTGGAGAAAAATTAATTGATTGGGGTCAAGAGGTTAATGATGGCAGTTTTGTGCTTGCTTGGAGGTTCAAGCATGGAAGCTAGAGAGGAGAACGGTCCTCCTGTATCTGGGGAAGAAGTACATGGTAAATGAAAGAATGAATGGAAGGATTATCCCCTTTACCAGCCATTTGGGCCAAATATGGTGAGTACTAGCCAAGTCTAATTTATTTCAAAGAATACGCTTTTTTAAAGATTTCTATTTTACGTATTTTTAGAGAGTGCGTGTGGGCGAGCTGGGAAGGGACGGGGTTGGGGGGGGCCAGAGAATCCCAAGAAGGGTCCATGCTATCAGCACAGAGCCTGACAAGGCAGAGTTGGGTGGGGGCTTGATCTCAGGATCATGACTTGAACTCAAGTCAAGAGTCTGATGATGCTCAACCGATTGAGCCACTCAGGTACCTCTAAAGGGTAAACTTTTTATAACAACTTTTTTTTTTTTTTTTTTTTTTGACTTTGTGAATATGAGCAAGCCTTAGGGGGAGTTCTTAGGATAAGGAGATGAATGAGGAGGTGAGAAAAGTGAGGTTCACTCACTGGAATATTTTCTACCAGGACAGGGAAGTGAAAAGAGAAGCGTTCAAAATCCGCTGTAGACCAGTGGCTGTTGGAAAACTCCTACTGGTAATATATTACCTGTTTGTCAGAGTTCTCTCTGTCTCTCTCTCTCCAACACATCTGTTGCATCCCTTTCCTTCTCACTGCCCTTCCTCTCCCCTCTTCCGTCTCTCTCTCAGCAATTCGTCTTTGCTTTTTTGTCCTTGTTACTGTTTTTGTAACTTGGCGTTGGACAG